TTGAGTTCATCATGTTTTAAAATAGTTTCTTTTTGATTCTTTTTGAGAGAGTAACTTGTAGATGTTGCAGAATATGAAAGTTCATTCATATCTTTCTCATCATCATTTTCATCATTAGTATTTTCATCATCATCAGAATTTTCATTAGTTAATTCTTCCAATTCAACTACAAATTTTGATTGACCAGTTCCAAATCCATCATTTTCTTCCTTTTTTTGTTTCTTTAATAATTGTTCATATTCTTTTTTTTTATTCTTTCCTTTAAATTGATCAGGATCTATATTGAGAGATCGTAACATTTCTTCATCTCTTAATCTCTTTTCTAATTTTCTTTCTTGTTTAATTTTTTCTTCATGTCTTTTTTGTTGTTCTCTTCCGATGAGTCGATTAATATCTTTTCTTTTCTTTAAATTTTTAACATAATCCTCACGTGATTGTTTATCAAATTTAATAGAGAGTGCTCGTGCCGTGACTGTATTCCGATAGGCGTTGGAAGGTTTGACTTTTTCATGCTCCAGATTTTTGTTGAAGATGTTTCGACCTGACATTTTTTTTATTTTTTTTTATGAAAGATTAAAAGAATCAGAGACTCGGAGCGTAATGAAAGAGATTGTAAAGGATCACATCCAAATCTCCTCCTTTCTTGATGAACCACAGGTTTGGTATGACTATGACTTGTTCAAAACCACCAGCAGCATGCAGTTGCAGACCTCACTCAAGTTCAGAAACACTTGTTGCAACAACTCGAAAAACACCAAAAAAAAATGAGCAGTCAAAACACTACTGAAACAACACCATCACAGCAACAACAACACACTTCATCATCGTCGGAATCTCAAAACTTTGAACCAGAAAATACTCACGATTACAAACATAAATGGTATTGGGATCAACGATTTGAAAAAGAAGAAAATTATGATTGGTTAGGAACATTTCAACAATGGAAACCCTATTTAGAGCCTTATCTCACTGCTCATCATGATTCCAAACAACAAGTCAAAATATTAATTGTAGGATGTGGTAATAGTACATTGAGTGAAGATATGTACAAGGACGGATATCATTCCATTACTAATATGGATTATAGTCATACTGTGATTGAAAAGATGAAAATAAAACATCCAAATATGGAATGGGTTGAAATGGACATGATGGATATGAAAGGCTTTGCAGATGGTACATTTGATATTGTATTAGATAAAGGTACAATGGATGCATTAGTGGTAGATGCTGGTGATCCATGGGATCCTGAACCACATGTACGAGAACAAACATGTAAAATGTGTTGTGAAGTTTATCGAATTTTGAAACCAAGTGGAAGATTTTTACAAATTAGTTTTTCTCAACCTCATTTTAGAAAAATTGTAAGTGTTTGACAATTGTTGAATGTTATGAGTGAAATGTTGTGTGCCATGCATACCTTCTTGTGTTACCACTATATGGTGTTTGGAATGATCACTTTCTTCATGATGTGTGTGTTTGACAATGACGATTAAACAACTCGTCTCATTGGGGAACATTGAAAAATTTCATGACTTGCAATAGTTTTTAAATCCAAAGAAACAAGATGGTGAAACTAATTTATTAGACTGGTCATACAAGTCCATACATGTAGATGAAATTGGTTTTGGATATCCCTTGTTTATTCTTCAAAAACCTCCATTCACTTCTCTTCCATCAACAACACATTAATAAACCAGAGCCATACATATTTGATGGCAAACGACATGTAATTTTTACCGTTTTGACCGTTACAGACTACAGAATTCAAATTTTAAAAAAAAGGCTTTAAGGGTGCGGTACAAGAGAACACCCCCACCACGAGACATTGAATCTCTGAGATCGTAAAATTACTCCCGTTTACTCCATAACTAAGTAAGAACGAATACAATCATGACAACGAATCAAATCCGAAAGAACTCCAAGCTCAACATTGCTCAACCCGACCTCAATTTGAACGACTTGCTGAAATCCATTGACTCAGCCATTGAGGAAAACCATACATCTCTCGTAATGACAGCGCATAAGAAGAAGAAAGCTTCAGATGCTACTTCTCCGGTTCGCTCAGGGTCAAGAAGCAAAATAACTAGTCTATCTCCGAATCATCGTTTAACATCAAGCGCCATTGTATCCTCCAGCCAGCACACTTCTTCCCCTCCTAGAATGTCATCAAGTGTCAACAATTTCAATCCAAAGACCTATACCTTGTCTCCAAATCACAAACATTCCATAGGACCCTCTGAAAACATTGCATCATCTCAAATGCCACTTAAAAGTTCGTTTGCAAAAAAAGCAAATAGAAATTTGTATGATGAGTTCAGCTCCACCACTAGTTCAAGTGAAGGAGATGAAAATCATTCCAAATCATTTTCTTCTTTTAAAAAGAAAGTGAGTGTTGTTTCTCCTAAAACCACATCTTCTTTAAGGTTACCTCTTTCAACCCTATCCAACAGCAAATTGAACTCTTCAAGGCTCTCAGTGAAAGATTTAAAAGATTCGAGCAGCTCTGATTCAGATCTCAAACCATCATCCTCTCATTCTAAAAAACAAGCAGATATTTCGAAATTATTTGAAAATGGCCACAAAGCTCTCAACATTTTACAAGCAGCTCATGAAAATATGAAATTAACCATTCCTAAAGATTTGAGGAAAGATATTAGAGACAAATCACAAACCTTTAAATCTGATTGTACCAGAGTGTTATCTCAAATCGATGGCTTGTTAAATAAGGTTAAAACACTCAATACCTCCACCAATTCTTTAACAAACTCTCCAAGTAAATATTACCATGTAGAGGAACGAATTGATGAAGAATCAGTGAGCAGCACCTCTGGGAGCTTGGATCAGCAACAAGATGATTTTGTCAATTATTAAACAATAAAAGTTGGATAATCATGAATGGTTCCGCCCAAGTCAGCTATCAATATTAAAAAAAAATGTCCAATGGCGCATCATCCTTGATGACAATGGATATAACCTCCAATGCTATCGGTGATACATCAGATCGTCCTGTTAATGACATGACGAACATTACCGTTATTCAACAACCTTCATCAACTACAACTAGTCAATCGAATACACACCATTTGGATGTGATGAACTCGACACTTCAACACTGTGTCAGAGAAATTCAATTGACTCATGTCCAAACCATTCTTCACTTTGAAAATGAAATTCAACAATTACGAGATGAAAATGAAACACTGAAAAAGCAATTATTTCATACAAATCTTTTATTAAATAATAATAGTAGCAATATCGATGATTTTGATAATATTTTATTATTGATACAGAAATTATCACATGACATTGAGAAACAAAAAGAGTATTTTATTAACATGTTGAAAGAAAAGAATCAACTCATTGAAGAATTACAACATCGATTATCGGAACAACAACAAGTCTTGAATATTTCACCATCACTACCACCATCCGCAACCATAACAACATCAAACCATACTTCTGCTGACGTGTCCATGACTGCAACAAATGATCCAAACACCAATCAGCCACGTGATGACACGATCCATGATTCCTCTACTGCATCCACATGTACAACAACCCATAATAATGGTGACGTAGATTCAACACATTCCAATCATTCATCATCCCATATCGATCACACATCCTCAACCATTACATCAACTCCATCCATCACTCCACGCAACAGTAAATCCAAACTAATCACCAGCAATAACATTTCATCAAGTAGTAATTTGACTCACAATTCTTCATTTTCTAAATTGAATAATCGAAGTAATAATAATAATAGCAATAATAATAATAATAGTAATAATAATAGCAATAATAATAGTAGCAATAATAACAGTAGTAATAGCAGTACAAATCATTTATTGACAACTACAACCATGAATGCATTGACTTCTCCACGTAATAATAATTCTCCATCCTTCACGAATTATCAAAACATTACAGATGCTGAAATTGCTGGAATTTATGAAAGTGATTTTAGAGATGCAGAAAATGAATTACAGAAATGGATTGAATCCATTACGAACATACCATTCAACAACTCGATATCATTTTATCAAAATTTAAAGAATGGTATCATTTTGTGTATTCTCATGGATGTATTATTTAATGTAAAAGTATCATCGTCATCATCGGATACTTTCACACAGAATGGTAGTGCTCTTTCTACCACTTGTGGTAATACTATTACTTCTACTACTTCTACTTCTACTACAAGTAATAGTAATAATAATCATACTACGAACAACAACTCTTCTACACCAATATATATTACAAAACAACAACCCTCGAAATCTCTCTGGAAAGAATCCAATAATATTGAACAATTTTTAAAAGTGTGTAAAACACATTTGAACATTAGAGAAGAATCTCTATTCACTTATCATGATTTGAAAGATGAAAAACAGAAAGCACTCATTATTGGATGTTTATATCAAATAAGAAAGAAATCCACACAATTAATGTTCTCTCAACAACAACAACAACACAAACAGCAATAACAGTAAGACATCGAAGGTGTAACTCAATAAATTTATCTGGAATTCAGAGAGTTGGCTGAATTTTGTTGAGAAGTGCAATTCTCACATTCTACGATTTAGTGGAAGGATCAAGTTCGCCAATTCTCGACCAAAAATTTATTAAAAAAAAATAGATTGAAATTCTCGAGTGATCATCGTTATCCATTTGCCATTCACATACACACCAAATCAAGATGATGAAACAAGTTGCAGTGTTACATGATGAATTGAAACAAGCTCTTCAAAAAGTAAGAGAAGAAAGAGCATTCAAACCATCGGAATGGATTCAAAAGAAAACTGAAATGTTCAACGAATATATGAGAAAGTGTGGATTGAAAGGTTTGTACAATATGAGTCAAGACGTGTCAATTTATAATTTTGATGGATAATGATGATGAAAATTTATGGACATCCAATTTTGATCCTCTTGATCGATGACTCTATAACTTCTCATTCTTGATGATCACTTTATATCTATCTACACACAGCTTGCGTCGTATCCATTTCAGGAGGTGTGGATAGTGCTGTCACTTTTGCTTTGGCAGTGGTAAGTGTGTGTGTTCATGTTGTATCGTCATCATTGATATCATGATGGATTCTATCCAATCACGCCAATCATATCATGATCCATCATCAAATACACACTTTATGATTCACACTACTCTCTATACATACATATACATATATACACATATATATACACATTTACACACACATATGTATACACATACACACACCTACACGACACTGAAAAAAGAGAGCCATGCAACAACCAAATTCACCCATTAAAAAAGTCTATGGAATTGCTCAACCTATTAAATCGACTGAAAAGATTTGGAAACGAGCATTGGAACTTGAACAAGTCTATGCCACTTCTAATAATAGTTCTTCTTCTGATGAGAACAGTGTTCATATTGTCACAGTGGATCAAAGTGAAATTCATACTCTCATTCAAGAACGTACTGAACAAGCTTTGGGAATTAAAAGTGGAGATTTCAGTAGTGGTCAACTCAAATCCTATATGAGAACTCCAGTTGGATTCTTTACAGCTCAATTATTGAGTCAATCTGGTTATCCATGTATTGTATTAGGAACTGGTAATTATGATGAAGATGGATATTTGTATTACTTTTGTAAAGCAGGTGATGGTGTTGCTGATGTTCAATTGATTGCTGATTTACACAAATCTGAAGTATTTTTGGTTGGAAAAGAATTGAATGTTCCAAGTTCTATTCTTGAAGCACCACCTTCTGCTGATTTATGGGCAGGTAAGTTGTAAACGTGAATGGGTTTAATGATTCAATTTGGGATTAATTTTGATTCAATGACTTAATGATGTAACGATTCAATATTTCAATTTGGGATTAATTTTGATTCCATGTTTCATGATGATTCTTCCATTTGGTATTTTTCAAACCATATGGTTTTTAATTCGAATTCACTCCATCATCAATTTAAACAGGTCAAACCGATGAGAATGAATTAGGATTTCCCTATGATTTTGTTGAATTATTAACAGAAGTCATGACCAAGAGTGAGGAAGAACAGACTCGTTTCAAACAATCCTTTAAGGATCCTGAGGCTTTGAAACAATTCGAAGAATTGAGTTCTGAGGCTAAATTGATTCACAAACGTAATAATCATAAGGCTAAATATCCTTTGAATTTGAATATTATTCATCCAGAAGGAGATAATTATACATTGTAAATGTCCATATAAATCTCTATTTATTGGCGAAACAACACTTTGATATGGATGTTCATATTCATCAATTTTCCTTTTTTTGATTCTCTTATGCCATTCGAATGAACCTGGAATCATTTAAAGCCAGATTTGTGTGTTTCTTGTCGTCGTCATCCATTTCATGCACCACCACACATCGATTTAAAAATACGCAACAACAATTATTGCTTCCGAGTACACTTTCACCCATTATTCCTTCATCAAAATTGACACATTTTCTCTTTCACACAAGTTAAAGGTTTCAAAAGCTGTTGTTGAACTGTGAGATAGAGCAGCAGTCCATTCGTGTCGTCTCTCTCATTCCGAGAATAACAACGGTCCATTCCACCAACAATATTTTTCAAACGACAACAACAACAACAATTGATATCCATCACTCTAAATATCAATACCATTCATAATAATTATCATAATAATAATGGGCGCTTGTGGATCACGACCTGAACATAAAACCAATACTACTCCTTCCGATATGATTACTATTGGAGGACAAAAAGAAGAAGGATATGCACAACTTGATAATGATGGGTATGTTTCATTTCTGTTCACAATTTTTAAATATATTATTTATTTGGATATGAATGCATTCGAAAATTTTACTCTACGTGTGTCAGTGAATTATTCTTCAAAATTTTATTATTGGTAGGTCTACATGATATATTTCAAACCAACAACAAATAATATTCTTTCATCAAAATTGACATTTATAACTTGACAATAATATTCTTTATGACACAAACTTGATTATAGGGTGATAGTGGAGTTGGTAAATCAACCATCTTGTCCATGTTTAGTGACAGTAAATTCAATGTGAATCATGTCAGTACTGTTGGAGTAGATTTTAAAACAGTACATTTAACAGTTTTGAATCGACCAGTTCAACTTCAAGTGGTGAGTACACTCATACGAAATCTTATGTCAATGATGAATGGTGGAATATATATTTTTCAAAATACGTGCTGGACAACAAAATTTGTGACATTCAATGCACATGGATCATCCACTCACTCACTCACACACAAATATTCTTATTGGACTCGTGATGGGAATGTCCATTCAACAACAACAACATGTCAAAAATTTACATTCCCATGCATATCACACACACTTCATGCACATGGATCACTGAACTCATACACACACTTCATGGAATGTCCACTCAACAACAACAACAATAGTGGGACACAGCTGGTCAAGAACGATATCGATCCATCATTACAGCATATTATCGAGGTGCACATGGTATATTATTAACGTTTGATCTTACAAGACGAGAATCCTATGATAATATAAGGCGTTGGTTATTAGATGTCAATAAGCATGCTCATCAACATACAAAAACAGTACTTGTTGGTAATAAGAAAGATGTTGATCATATGAGAAATGTTACAAGAGAAGAAGCAGAAGAATTAGCAAAAGAATTGGGAATTAAATATTTTGAAGGTATGGAATTGAATGTTCATATTATTTTTTAATAATAATAATACTCAATAATGAACATGAAATAATAATAATACTCAATGATGAATTTGTATATTCTATTTTACTAATAATTATACTCAATTTTATACTGCAAATACCTGTTAAAAGTGAGTGCAAAGGCCAACGACGGAATTAAGGAAGTTTTTGATGACATTGCTCAACAATTAATAGAATCCATGTAAATGATCAAGTTTTGTGAAGAATAAATGTATCACACATGTTCGAATGTTTAATATTCGAATGAACTGTGAATGTCAGCAGATTCAGATTGAAAAAAATGTTATCTTCCAAGAGGTGGTACAGTATACCAGGATTATTTTCAATGGCCTCATCGATTTCCAAATGGTCATCATTCATAGATGCCAAGTTGAATCTTGTTGTTGAAACGTTCAATTTCAAAATTGTGGAAACGAGACAACGAAAAATGAGTCAACAACAACGAACAACCACCTCTTTCAATTTCAGATCGGAACACATCGCTGCGTCTTCATCAGCAAACAACAACAACAACAAGTCAGCAACCAATGATTCCTCTGATGCATCAGCTGGTACTAGTAACAACAAGAGCACTTTCATGAAATCTTCTCTTCACCATGGAGATCAAAGAAGAACTAGTAGTTCCAATCATCATCACTCCTTTCATTCTTCTTCAAGTAATAGCAACCATTATCGTAAAAAACTATCCAATTCTGATGTTCAAGAATATCTTTCATCCATTGCTAGTACTTGTCCAATTGTAGATATTGGAATTAATTTAACCAATCATCAATTCAAAGATTCTCAAGAGACCATCTCTCAAGTGTTGAAGAGATGTCAACTCGTTCAAGTCAAGTGTGTCATTCTCACTGGTACCTCTCTTCGTAATTCACTTGAATCTCTTTCTTTAATATCAAAATTTGAAAATCATGAGAGTGGTGTGAAATTAAAGTGTACGGTTGGTATTCATCCACATGATGCCAAATCCTTTAAAAACATTTCAGAGTTGGAACAAGTCATTACCTCTCCACAACACAATTCCAGCATTTGTATGGTGGGTGAATGTGGATTGGATTACAATCGAATGTTTTCTCCGAAACAAGTTCAAATTCATTGTTTTAAAGAACAATTAAGAATGGCGATTCGATTACAAAAACCAATATTTTGTCATGAAAGAGATGCTCATTCTGATTTTGTAGAGTGTGTTCAAAGTGTCATGAAAGAATTTGGAAATTCAACTTCTCTACCTCCACTTGTGGTTCATTGTTTTACTGGAACTAGGAATGAAGCAAAGAAATATATTGATATGGGTTTCTATATTGGTTTAACAGGATGTGTCTGTATGGAGGAAAGAGGAAAAGAATTACGTGAAATTTTACGTGATGGAATCATTCCACGTGATAAATTATTAATTGAAACAGATTCACCATTCATGTTACCTCCATTGAGTGGAAATGGTCACAGTGTTTGGAAATATGTCACGGGTGGTAGAAGAAATGAACCATGTTTGTTACCACATGTAGTGAATACCATTGCAGAATGTTGGAACATGACAGAAAATAAGCAAGCATTGGAAAAACAATTGACAGAGAATACGGCTCGATTTTTAATGATGGCTGATGTGAAGGAGTTGATTGGCTCCAATCATTGATTGTAACTCATGAAGGAGTTCATCTGTAAATTCTTTTTTCAAAGAAGGAAATAAAAAAGCCACCTCAAAAAAGTTGAAATAACGAAAGGTATGAAGATAGAACTACCTCAAATAAGTCATTTAGAAACAACATCTAGATGCAAAATAGATATAAATTGTTTATAAAAAAGGATTAAAATTTGGTGCTGACATGGGACCAATTTTCTTTACCAATAATCTAAAAACGTGGAATTACCATCTGACACGGAGTGAAAATTCTTGGCCACACTTCCAAAGAATCCACTTGTCAAATCCTTTTCCAATTCATTTTGAAAATGAGACATGAACAATCTCTGCATGAATTTCATATGGAATGAAAAGTAGGTTGGTGGTAATACTTTCAATTTTTGTTTGGTTTCCTTCTTCATATTCTCAGCTTGAGTGGTATCTGTAATGAGTTTGTTTAAAATAATCTTCTCCATAGCATCTGCAAATTGTTCAAAGTTTCGTTTGTTCTCCTTTGTCTTGGACAACAACATTCCCTTCCATTTCAACATTTTACGAAGTGATGCCAACATGAGATAGAAGTGTTCACACAATTTCACACGTTCAGGATGAGATTGATATTCAGTCAAATGATTTTCAAAATCATTCTTAATCACTGAAGTAAATCTTCCCATTTCATCTCTAAATAAAATTTCTTCATAAATATTGTAATAGAGAGACCACAATATTGCCTTCACATAATTCGATACTTCTCCATTCTCTTCAACAAATTTCACTTGTGCAAGCCATTCGGTTGGTTTCTTCAATAAACTTAATCTCTTTTCAAGTGGAAGTGAAAATATCACTGTATTCAATAACCTTCCAAAATTAGAACTCACTAAAAATTGATTCGTGACTAAATTATTTTGAGAATCAGCAGTCATGAAATTTTGTGAATGACCAGAGGAAGTATTCAATGAAAAACAACAATCAGTTGCAGTGACTGGTAATTCCTTATATTTTGCAGTTCCAAGACTAGTCTTTGAAAATACTCCACTCTTTTTAGGATTAAATTTCAAAGCACATGAAGAGTAATGTCTTGAAGGAGTAATCTTGTGAAGTACCTTATCAAAATATTCATTACATTTTCTTTCTAAATCTCTCTCATTGGGTGTACTAATTAAAAATACTTCTCTCAACTCTTGTTCTGGAATGGGTTTGGATGGCACGGGTTTGAAGAGTCTTGTTCTAAATTTACTACCATCCACATTTCCAATGAAAATAAATGCACCAAGAGTAGGAGGAGGTGCAACATGTTGTAGAGTTGTTGTTGCTGTTTGATTAGATTTTGTAGTTGTACTATTATTATTATTAGTAGTATTGGTAGTACCACTATTACTCGTCGTGGTAGTATTACCCAAAGTACTTGTATCATTCCATGCTACTCCTCTCAATATTTGAAATAAATCTTCTGAGAGGAGATTATTTTCATCACCTTGATTGAGCATGGGATAGATGAGAATTTTACCTTCATATCCTCCATGAATCCATGAAATGGGATGTCGTACAATAGTATTATTATTGTTGTTGGGAGTCGTACCAGTAGTACCACCAACACTAGGCATCATCAATGGAGGTGTGGAATGAGTGACTGTCGTTGGTGTCATGATCATGTTGGGATTTTGTTCATTTGGTGTTAATCCAATCACAGGAACCATGTTAGAAGCAACGACAGTACTACTCTGAGGTATGAGATTAGACACTGCTGGATCCATGATGAAGGGTTGTGGTTGCTGAATGAGTGGTTGTGGTTGCATCATCATTACGTTTTGAGGATTTTTAACAAAAGAAATTCCACCATATCGTTCACAATCCCAAATATTCACACTGAGTCCTAATCCTTCTAATATTTTCATATAGGCTAAGAATTCTTGTCTTACAATTTGTTTGTCTTTGAATATCATTTTCAAATAATTTCAATCGTTTCAACATTTTCATTTTCAATCGTTTCAACATTTTCATTTTCAATCGTTTCAAATAATTTCAATCGTTTAAATAAATCATATCATTAAAAACACATTTCAAAAACACCATTCTCACCTACCTGTAAATAATAACACATCATAATGATTCTGAGATGGTGTGGTTGGATAATAATTTGGAGTCAATCGAATAGAACTTTCCATATTTTCAATAATCTTTCCTCTCAATTTCAAACTCACTTTAAATGGAACTGTTTCAAAAAATTGTGCCAAATCATTCAACTCAATTTGGAAACTTCTTGAATAAGTCATACCAGGATGTATCAATGGAATATCTTCTTCAATAGCATTCACACCATTCAAATTAGGTTCATTATGAACTGTAAATCGATGATCAAAAGAAATGACAAAACTTGTGTGTTGTCGTTCTGAATGCGATTGACTTCCATAAATCATGGTTGAAATGTTATGAAATTGAACAGTCACTGTACCCTTTTCACTTCTTCCTAATTGAGAAGGTTGAGTCAAAGGTGCTATTTTGATTGGATATGTAATATTATAATTATTTAAAAGACATCCTTGATCAAAAGGTGATGTTAATAATGAGGCATGGGATTGAATTGCCATCACTGCATGATAAGGTCCATTCATTTTAGGTTCAGGTACATCTCCTATATGACCATAAAATTGAAATGGAATTTGAAACATTCCACCTGGTAAAATGGGTTGAGGAATGACATAGATCATATTTGAAGAGAGAAAGGGTTGTTTGTTAGGAATAGAATCACAATTTGGGAATTGAATAAGAGTACCAGGTGGTAAAATCATTCCACCAGTGTTGGTGACCATGACATTGGAAATGAATACACTTTCACCAGGTTCAAAGATACCATCATCTTCTACTGCAAATAATTGATAGGAAGTAACAGCCAAATCGAAAAGAGTAGATCCTTGATCAATGGGCATGTTTGTGAGAGGATCTAAAACTCGAAAGAGAAGTGAACCCATTTGACCTGAACGACCATCCATTCCTTTTGACGAGGAGAACAATGATCAAGTTTTAGAGTTCATCAAGCATAATGTGTGTTTGAGTTTGTTTTTGGGTTTGTGTGGTTTTTGGATTTGTATTTTGGATTTGTATGGTTTGGATTTGTATATTTGTCATTGGGTGGTTTTTGAATTTGTTTTTTGGATTTGAATTTGCATTGGAATTTTCAAATATTGGAATTTTGAAATATTGGAATCAAAAATTTCATACAATGATCATTATTGAATACACTCGCACACTCACACACACGCACACTCACACACACTTACCACATCGACCATCACGTCCAGAATTACCAGAATTTCCTCGATGTCCAGCATGTCCATATTTACCTGAACTACCACTGTGAGGTGAATGAGATTGATGTTCTAATTTAGATCCAGCACTACCACCATGTCCACCTGAACCACCTGAACCACCACTGTTATTTGAATCCATTTGTATATATACAAATTTCACAATAGTGAATGGACATTGAATGATTGGATAGATATCATTCATTTATAGTCATATGTGTCAATGAATCATGTATTGTTCATGTAAATTCAAACACTTACCTTCCACCTGAACCACCACTTCCACCACTGTTATTGGAATATATTGGTAGATATACAAATTTCACAATTTCATAAGAATTCATTGGTATAAATCATATCATCAAAAGAATGTTGCATCATCAAAATTCACAATTTCATACATTTGTAAATTCATTGGAATCATTTGTAAATTCATTGGTATAAATCATCTCTATCATCATCTCTACATATACATACCATCCAGCAGAACCACCACTTCCAGCTCTTCCAGCAAAACATTCAGCATGAACAAATTTCAATAGAGCTGGATTATGAGTTTCAATAATAACATGTCCACCATTTCCTCCATCTCCACCACTGTTTTTTCATCAAGTGTTCATGATGATTGTATGATTCAAAAAAGTTTGACATTGTTCGAATATACATACTCTGCTCCATCTCCACCACTATTCACATGAATCAATTTCAACAATATACTCGTGAAAGAAATTCAAAAACACTTACTCTCCACCATCTCCACCACTTAATGATTGGACCAATGAAACAAAATGTTTTTCAAAATATATACGTTTCATATACTTACTCTCCACCACTATAAAAGTAGGTTTAACAAAGTAAGGAGGATCACTCCAAAATTTTCATACTTACTTTCCACCACTGGATCATGTTCAATCCACACACTTGAAATTCATAATGTTTCATACTTACTCTCCACCACTAATAAAGAATTTAATGAGTAAAACGAAAAACCTTAACAAATACTTACTCTCCACCACTGTGTTCATCCATGGAAAATATTATTAGTATTAGTAGGAAAATAATATTAGGAATGTGTGTTCATTGTCAATCATGGTAGAATTCAATATAAGATATGGTATTCCATGGAAAATAAATTCATTCAATAATATTAAAATGTCAATTCACACATTTACACATTCAACCACACACTTACTCTCCTCCATTTTGTCCACTACTTCCTGATCGACCACTTCCTCCTGATCCACCTGATCCACCCCAACCACCTGAACCTCCTGATCCACCACTATATGAATTATATTGGAAATCATACGTTACAAAAATCATGATATAGACATAATGTTAAATCACCATATTGAATCGTGTTAAATCACCATATTATATCACCATTAAATCACCATATTGAATCATGTTAAATCACCATATTATATCACGACAAAATAAAAACTCACCTTCCACCATCACCTCCATGACCACCTGCACCTCCATTCGCATAAAATCTCATTGCTTTTACAGATCCATCTGGAATACATAATGTTTCATTCACAGTTCCACTAATGACTACTGAATGATGATCCATTCCATCAATCAATACTCGAATATCACTTGCATGACCTCCATGAGTACCTCGTGAACCATTAGTACCATGAGTTCCATTACCACCTCGATGACCATGTGAACCATTACCACCACGAGAACCAGTGTGACCATGTGAACCACTTGAACCACTCTTTAAATTGGGAAATAGTTTTGAGAGTGTTCCAATTTATGAGAATAAGAGTGTTCCAATATGAGAACACGTTCAACAAGATTTAAAAATTAATTGGTTAAAAAAACCATGCCGAATTTAGAGACCATCACAACTAATGATACTACAACTGCTACTACTTACAGATCCGGTATGTCCACTCGACCCACTGTGATGGTTGTCGCGAACAACGTACAAGTAGTTCACACCCATGATAATGGTGCAATTTCAGGATTTCCCAAAACATGATGTCATGTTGATGGAACATTAAATGGAACACAATAATGATGACACCAATATTATTATTGTTGAGAAGAACAAGTAGAAGAACAACAATAACCACTGACCTGAATCCGGAGGTTCCATTGATTCCGGGCGTGCCTGAGCTATTGACTTCAATGGAAGCTTTGAGCATTTTTTTAATTTGCTGGAAAAAAAGTTTGATTATCCGCAGTACATGACTCGGAGTTAGCAACCAACGTTCTGAAAAATACAGTCTTTTGTGTTGTTACATCTCTTCAGAAAGAACATGACAAGAACCATGCCTGCACTCGCTCACCCTTCCCTAGTTTCCAACTCACCCTTCATCAAGCACTCTAGTTCAGATTTAAACGAAGGAAGACCAAATAACAAAGAATGGAAACACAATCTCTGAGATCTAAGGAGTTTAACGAAATTTGACTGTTGATATTGTGTGTAAAATCTACAAGAAAGGAAGACCGAGAGTTCAGAATGGCGTTGTCCATGAGCTCATGGAGGTTCACGATGGATGAATCATGTGAGACATGGCAACATCAAAAAAATTGTTTCTTTCCATTGCATTGAATTGTATTATCGACACACACACATATGAGATCACAACAATTCCTCTTCTCTCATTCATCTCTCCTTATAAATGTGGTGGTTGTAACCACAACACTCTTGCTCCTATTCACTTCTTTCATTTCAGCGACTCGAATCTGTTACATTAATCAACCTGGTGGAGGATCTGGAGGAATTACACCCTACACCTTCACAGAGAGTGGAATTGTTTGTGTGAGATATGGCTATAAATGTAAACAAAATGATTCTTCATGTAGTGCCTCAGAAATTGCTCAAGGTACCATTAAGAAGACTTACACGGGTGTGAGTCAAGCGACGTGTGATAGCATGAAATCTGCACCTACTGTCTATTTGGATACGTATTGTTGCAACACTGAGTTGTGTAATGGAGATTCCACCAATAATGGAGGAATGAGCTTGAATGTCATGGGAATCCAATGGATGATGAATCGTATCATGATTGTTTTGTGTATGGTTGTGGTGTGTATGATGGTATTGTAATAATCATAATTGTGAAATAAATGAACACAAAGATGTTTCATCATCACAATGATTCGAGATAAGATTCAATGAATATGAATTTTCACAACACGTGTTCAATGAAAACATTTCAATGCATTCAGTTTGCTTGATGAGCCACAACACGTGTACAATGAGCTCAACCAACAAGAGAATAAATTTCAAAAACCAGTCAGTGACTTCCGAACGTGCATGCAAAAGAAAATTCAAAACCTACCAACGCTAAATCAACTCTAGAGTCTTTCCATCTTCCGAATTTATGAGCATCATGCCTCTTCAGCACACATCTTTAAAGAATGTCAAGCCATTCGATTACATGCATACAAGATTTTGTTTATTATTAATGGTGGTATTCATTATTCTAATTTCAATTACAACAACAACAGTAGTACTAGGAGACAGCCCAATTCACAACAACACTTCCGAATCGGAAGGTGCACCAACATCTTTTACGCCCTCCATCAATGATCACACTTCTCGCCATGAGAGACCCATTCCGAAAGTCATTATGAGAACCAAAGAAGAACATCAACGACATAACCAAAGAAGAACAACCCAAACATCATCATCATCGACAACATTCACACAACCTCACTCCAAATTCATTCAATGGCATCATTGTTACAGTGCCGATGAAGAAGACTTGGAGAGTGGTATTTCACTCATTACTGCACATTTAACCATTGTTCCCACTCGATACAATGTTCCAGGTGTGCGTGTCGATATGGATATGAAATTCAACATGCCAATACCCAATACCAACATGTTGTTTTATCAATTTGAATTGTGGCATGAAGAGACTGGTCAAACGATCAAATATAAGGGACCTTATGATGTGTGTTGTGGAAATTTTATTCATCCTCATGAGAAGAGTCGTAGTCATGGTCATGATGATGATGATAAGGACGAGAAGGAACAGAATTCGAGTGGTGAACGTGTTGATTCTTCTCAAAATAGTAGTAGTAATAATAATAATAATAATAACAATGAAGAGATTAAGAATCATCCTCTCTCTAAGAATCATCATTTGGAATTTGGATGTTCTCTCGAAGAATCTCATTGCCCCATTGTGAATTTAAACAAAACCTATCATGCTCAAATTGAAAGACCACTCTACGTGACTGAAAAAGGAACGTATGAAGCGAGTGTTAAGATTTACAAGCATCGACAATTGGAATCTGATCCATCCAGAACTGAAAAGTATGAATATTTATGTGTGGATATTCCTTTTAAAGTGAATTTTGAAAAGGAAATGTTAAATACTGCTCTATGGAAACAAACGAGTCCTAACGAAGGAGACCTTGCACTCACTACAAGTAGTAGTAGTACTAGTATTGATAAACATCCAGTCATTAAAGATGAAATGTAAAAATTTCATATTTAAAGATTCTATTGCATTACTTTGAAATCATGTTAGAATAAAGATCTTTCAATATTGTTTATATTATTTTGAAAACTAAATCTTTATCTCACAAGAACATTCTTCATCTCTGAATCTGTTTCCAATGAATAGAGTATTTCTTGAGGGTCATTCTGTAAATGTATCAATGGTAAGCGTTCTCTATTGTCATATTCAATGGAAATAAATCCCAATTCGACACAAGTTCCCATCACATGTTCCAATTGATCCATTGATAAATGCAACAAATGAGTATTTTTGTTATTATTATGATTAGGAGAGGATGATGCAACGGACGGTAGAGATGATTTGGTTGAATTCTCAGTGCACATGGCCAATAAATTCTGAAATCTCATGACCACTCTCTCAAATAGAATGTTATCAGGATTGGCATCAGAGGATCCTGTCATTGCTGCATTTGGATTTTCTTTGAGTGTTTTTGCCTTCATTTGATATTCCTGAATCACACAATATAAAAATATTTTGTGATAAATGCTGAGTGATTCAATAGGATAAATATCTGCATAGTCTGATGCAATATTCTTGACGAAAATAGAATCAATTTTCTTCTTTTCTGAAGTTTGAGGAGTACATTGATAGACTTCAATACATCTCTTAATAATATCAATAGCTCTACGTATATCTCCTGCCTTTCGAGCAATAATTGATCCAATCATTTTAATAGCACTCTTTTCAAAGTAACCTTCATAGTTATTTAAAATTTTACTTTCTACAATTGTCCTAATTTGTTCATTTTCATAAGGAAAGAATGTGAGAGTATCATCAAATCTGCTCTTAATCTTGGCATGTAATTTATCTAGTAATGATACTGTGTTTGATATTCCAATAATACATAATTTACTATTTGCATCTCTTGTCACATCCACCAAATCATAGAGTAAATGAATATTTTTGGTATTGTTCGTCGTGTTCATCACAAAAAAGTCCATTTCATCAATAATGACAATTACATAGGGTCTTTTTCCAATAGTTTTTGGATTTTTGAAATAAGTTTCAATTTTTGTTTTACAAGTTGTTTTTGTTTTAGATTTTGAAGTTCGATTATTTCCTTTTACAACTTTGTCAAAAATAATTTCAAAGGCTTTTGAAGGTTGAGATAATTTCATTGCATTAATAAATATTGAGACGATGCCTGGTTTTTCGTTGCATAGTTCAGTAACCACTTGTTTGACACTAGCCTGTAAAATTTGTAAAATTTGTAAAAAATTGAATTTTCATAGACATGATGAATTGTTGTTCATTAGCAACAATTATATAAAATTGTAATGAATTGATAAAATCGAATGAAATAATAACATACTGTTTTTCCAGTTCCAGGCTCTCCCGAAACATACATGGTATAGGGACAGGATAACTCAATTCTGTTCGAAATATTTTGTTTTATTTGCGCTAGTTCCTTTTCTCGACAAGGAAGTGGTTGAGAGGATGCATCAAAATGTTGGTCCTCCAATCCAAGAGAGCTTGTTGTGTGTTGATGGGAAGAAGAGCTTCCGACATGCGATTTTATCATTTTTTCAATCGGCTTTTTTGTGTACCAACACCATAGTTTGAACAAAATTGACAATCGAACAAAGAATGAGTGTGGAATCCAACGAAAGGACAAACTCCACGCTTTATAAGTGGCTATATTTAAGTAATAATTGTGTCAGTACAACAACATAATGGGATTTGTGATTGAATAAAAAAAATAGCCCGCCTAAAAATTTCTCTCAAAAACGTTACATCAAACACTCGAACAAAAAATGACAAAAAGCACAACTTCAGGTGTGATGACGATCAGCAAAGATAAATATTTCAAAATTTTGGAAGACGAGTTGGAGGAAGGAACCCGAACCATGAGAGTCGTAGATTACAAGTGGCTGAGCATGAAATGTTCTGTAGATGTAAATCAAGCAAAGCAGTATGTTATCATTAATTGTCATAACATCAAGTATTTAATAATCTCTATTCACACAATTATGATCATTATTATGATTGAATTGTAAATTATTCATCACGTGTGTTGTTGAATTAAATGATTTGAAATTTTAATCATTTCCGAAATTTTAATGACCATCATTACCAGAATGCTCTATGAATACTACTCTGAAGATTCAAACTCTAATTCACTTCATGTCACTTATTTATTGGCTGGACAACCCAAGGATCATTCTCTTCCCTATCAAATTGCACTTGTATCCATGAATCAATTAGAACAAGTGAAGACTAGTTTTGAAAAGATTAATTCTATTCATATTTATTCAATTTCCAGAACTAGACCATCCACAATTTCAGACTTGTATCGATTAGATTCAAATACACATTTTCCATATCGTGAATGTGGTATTCTTGAATATGGAGGAGGAACCATTGAAATGAAAAGTAAAGTTAAGAATCAATCAGCAAATTTGGAAATTGCAGAACCAGCCATGAAAGGTCTACAACCAAAGAAAGAGCTAACGAATAGTTCACATAATGATGAGAACACAAGCTCACCAAAGAAAGAACAAGCCTCCTCTTCTTCAAAGAAATCACCTTCTGACTTTTTTAAAAAGTCTACCAAACGATCAACTCCTCAAAAGGCTAAACATGAATTATCAGAAGATGATGATGAAGAAATGAAGGATGCTCATTTAAAAAAGAATTCTTCTCTCATTCTTGATGAAGAGAGTGATGGCGATGAACCCATGAAAACTGAAATGTCTGAAGATGAACAAGATACTCAATCGAAGAAGAAGAAGAACACCAAGAAATCACCCTCTTCTTCCAATAAGAAGTCATCCAAAAAGACAACACCATCCAAAACTCAAACCAATACGTTGGACAAGTTTACTTCACAAAGTCCAAAATCAACCACTACTATGGACTCGTCCTCTGAAAAGAAGTTAACAAAGAGAGTGAAACAAACAGTTCAAGTCAAGAATGAAAAGGGTTATCTTGTGAGCACAGACATTTGGACTGAAGTACCTCTCACAGAAGAAGAAATTAAACAAATGGAAAAGAAGCAACAGGTATCTTCTGCTATCAATGTAAAGAAGGAACTCTCAAGCGATGATGAAAATGCAATGCAAGATGAGGAAGATTCATCCAAGAAGAAGCAGAAAACAAAGAAAGAATCAACTTCGACCTCAAAATCAAATAAGAGTGTTGTGTCTGCGAACCCACATTCTGGCCCAAAGCAAACCAGCATTGGTTCATTCTTTAAGAAGAAATAAATCCAATACATCATTGTTTTGTACACTTTCCTGGACATGTTTCAATAGCCGGAAGAAACAAGAGCTCGTTGTAAACTCTAATCATCGGTTGACCAGTTGTTTTAAAAAATTTTGTTGAAAAAAAATACGTCAAAAACAATGGTTCGTATCGTTTCGCACTCACTCATTCTAACATCAGCTCATTATGAAAATTAAATAATTACATTTGTACAACAACAGGCCAAGAGAACCAAGAAAGCAGGTATCACTGGTAAATTCGGTACTAGATATGGTGCCAACTTGAGAAAGCGTGCTAAGAAGTACGAAATCTCCAAGAAGCAAAAGCACTTCTGTCAATTCTGCGGTAAATATGGTTTCAAGAGAGTTGCTGTGGGTATTTGGAATTGTAAGAAGTGTAACAAGACTCAAGCTGGTGGTGCTTGGACTTTGAACACAACTGCTGCTGCCACTGTCAGAAGTACAATCAGACGTTTGAGAGAAACCCAATAAATCTATTATAAAATATTAAATAATAATATGATAACGATGGTGCATCGGAGTTCATGAAAAGCATTTTACTTGCTTCCGCACAAAAGACTGACATAATCTTCATAACGAATGATTGGCCCGTCCTTTGCTTGGGCAACTCTCAAGAATTCATTAATTTCTTCATCATTCATTGGCTCACCATGTGTTTTGAGCCAGTTTATCATTTTGTCTGTAGGGATGTATCCCTTTTTTTCTGGATCTAAGGTCTCGAACGCCTTCAGAAGTTGATCTTCAGAGTCTACCACCATAGCCACTCCATCATAGGTTGAGGTTAGAATGATTTTGCTCATGACAGCTTCAAACTTTTCAAAAGTGACAAAGGGTTCTGCCATTTCGGTTTTTAGTGCTGCTAATTGTTTTTGAGTTGGGTTGAGCCCTAAATGTCGCAGAATAACTCCAAAATCCTCTACTTCTACAACACCTTCGCTTTCGAATAATCGGAATGCCTCCTTCAATTTATTGACTTCAGTTGAGGCTGTAACGGATGGAAATGCTGAAGAAGGTACGTTCGGGTCCATCTCTTGAGTTGTTTAATTGATCAATAATTTAAATTTTTTTGTAGTTTCGAAAGCGCGTGTTTGAGTGTGAGCAAAGAACGCTTATTTTAAAAATCATAAAAATGAATTTATTGCCAGCTTGTTGCTTGATAGGTTCTCCCGATCATCACCAAGCACTCACACTCTTGCCACCACCATTGTTCTCACTTCAAGACTCGGAAAATAACATTTCAGAAACATTGTCTGTTTCTTCAATTTCTTGCTCTTTTTCCATCTTTTTACTTGAACAGGAATGTAACGCTACAGATCAATTAAATATTCTACAAAAAGGAAAATCAGTTTTAATTGGCTTATCAAAATTTAGAAATCTCTCATTGATTGTGAAATTATTTTCAAATCAATTATTAGAACCGATCTCGATACATGTGAAAGGATTTGAATTAGAGACCTTTTGTTGGTGTCATTTGAAATTGATTATTGAACAAGAATCAATTAAAATCAACATGTGGAAATACAATGAAATGATCTTTGAGGTTTCATATCAATATCCATATCCATTGAACCTTAATGATATTGTTACAGAGTACTCTCCAATAGTGATTCCTCCAAAATTGGACAAATGTGATTGTGTGAAAGGAATGATCAAGGATTTATTTTTTGAAATTTCAAATCAAAAGACTTCTACTCTTTCAGAAAATAAGAAACTGAATTTCAACTATGACTATCCTCCTTTGATACATTGCAACAAACCTCACAACATTATTTCACAACCCATCTACTCTATGGAACAATTGAAACATTTCAAAATTGGAAATGATCCAATGAATGTTTGTCGAGTGAAATTGCAAAAAAGAAAAAACTCTCCAAAATCTAAGGTCATTCTATGTCACGATATGAAAGGAGGATATTTAGAAGATAAATACATTCAAGGTGGAAATTCATTTCTCACTTATAATTTTACATATTGGCAATATGTGGATATATTTATTTATTTTAGTCATCATCGAATTACCATTCCACCTTGTGGTTGGTGTGAAGCAGCTCATCGAAATGGTGTTCAAGTTCTTGGAAATTTTATTGTAGAATGGGATGAAGGTATTCCTGAAATTGAACAATTACTTTATTCTAGTGGTAGTAATAGTAGTAGTAATAGTAGTAGTAATAGTAGTAGTAATAGTGGTTTGAATGAACCTTTCAATAGTACTACCACACCGGAATCCTCTATATCCTATGAATTGGCAGATAAATTGGTGGATTTGGCTCTCTATTATGGATTTGACGGTTGGTTTCTCAACGTTGAATCTCCACTTCGGAAAGGTAGAGATGCATGCGAAAGGATGATGCAATTATTGAAATATTTAACAAACGAATGTCATAGAAGAATAGGAAGCGATTCATTGGTCATTTGGTATGACTCGGTGCTCTCCACAACTGGAGAATTGAAATGGCAAAATGAGCTCAACGAGACCAATATTGAATTCTTTAACAGTTGTGATGGAATTTTCTTAAATTATTGTTGGAAGCCAGAAATGCTTTCAAAAAGTGTTTCTTTGTGCCATTCTTACCATCCTCAAGATTTCTTTTCGAATATTGATACTACTAGCAGTGAAACATGCAAAGAAGATACTGACAAAGAGCTATTGAGAACCAATAGAGCATCTACCAAAACATCCTTTGATATTTACACAGGAGTTGATATATTTGGAAGAGGTCAATACGGAGGTGGTCAGTTCAATACTTCATTGGCTCTTGCAGAAATTAACAAGGCAAAAACCTCTGTCGCTCTCTTTGCTCCTGGATTTGTCTATGAAAGTTTATCATCCATCTCTTCGGAAGATCTCAAATCTCAAATTAATGATCAAAATATGTTGAGAAGACAATACGAAGAGAGAGAAGACTTATTTTGGTCCAATTATTACCATGGAAATGATGTGAAAAGGGTAAAGGAATTGTTAGTGAATGGAAATGGTCATTCAAATTTTGAAGGATGGACCATCATTAAGGATCTGTGTGATGAAAAAAATGGTCAGAATACTAGCTCATCATTGGATGGATATCAATGGAGTTTATCTTCCAACCATGAATTCAATGATTCAAAATCATTTATTTCATCTCACCAATGGTGTCGAATGAGTCAACTTGTGGATTTGAAAACTCATCTCCACACTGATCATCATTTATCTCTTGTCATTAGAGCATCATGTTGGTATCGAGGAACACCTCCAAAATGTAATGATTTATTCTATCTCAAAGTGGAATTAAGAGATGAACATGATCATGTGATTCAATGTTTCCATTCAGGTGAAATTATTTGTGATGAAAAATGGAAATGCATGGACCATTGTTTTATGGAATATTCGAAAGAAAACATTAGATATATTTATTGGGAACATGGAGGAAAGGACGTCGAGTGTTGGAGTGGAAATTTTGGTTCTCGTGTTGCTCAATGTTCATTGACTTGTTTGGAGTTCGTAACTGAACAGCAAGATATCTCTCACTCCACACCATTTGTCAGAAATTATATTGAGGAGAGAATTATTCCTTCATGGAACAACTTTAAAAGTGTTCAACACAATCCTGTATCATCTCGACAAAATGTTGTACTCTCGTCATCCACCAAGAAACAACATTTGAAAACTCGATTCAGTACTGGAGTGGGAAAACATTATTTCATTCATGGAGAGAAAGTGAGTGATCATGCTTGGAATAACATGTCTCATCAAGAATTACTGCCAACTTTTAGAAATGTTAAATATTTGGATTGTGGACAGCCTCATGCATTGAGATTTTTTGTGAATTATGAAGATGCACTTGTTGGAGGATCATGCTTGAAATTTGAAGGAAAGTTTAATGCTCAATCAAGGCAGGAACAATTGACTCGATTCAAGCTATTTAAAACAAGCATAATTATTGAAGAGAATGAAGTGTTACACCTGAGAGTTGGCTACAAGTCAATATGTGAATCCAATAGTTTCAAATTGATATTGAAAAATGCTGGTTGTGACCACGAATACATTTTCTCAGCGTTGCAACCAACACAGCTGGGTTGTGATGAAAAGATAGTACAACCATCTAAGCAGACCACCTGTTCGAACATGTGGAGGATTGCTGATTTTAAATTACACTTCCCAACACTCAGTGAAATTGCTGCCATTGACATTGAGTGCTTTATGGTAGATAGGGAACAAGACCCTCTCTATGAATTGATGCTTGGATTATTGGAGATTAACAGTTCTCATAGTGAGCTTACAGAATGTTGTACGTCCTTAGACTCCCTCAACAAAGTAGACCATGCCTTAACCACAAGCATGCATTGGGACTCGGTACTTGGCAACCAACAAACTCCGTTTGAGGCAACCGTTTCATGGAATCATGATGAAAGCAAACATGCCCAGTTTGTCATCTTTAAGAACAAGCAATTTGTTGCAACCACGCAAAAAGCAACACATCGAATTCAGAGCTGCAGCCGCAAAGACAATATCGAAATATTTCGGATTGAATAAAGTTTTTTGTGTTTATGTGTAAAATTATTTAAGCAACCAAAGCATCAGCAGTTGCGGATTCATACTTCCAGTTTGGAGCCAAAACCTTTGTACTCTTGTAGTATCTAGAAAGACGGTGGATCTTGGATTCACAGAGAATCAATTGGTACTTGGCCTTCTTATCCTTTCTGGTCTTTTCCAAGTGCTTTCTGATACCGACAGCCTTCTTAATCAATTGGTACAAGTCTTCTGGAATTTCTGGAGCAAGACCATTAGACTTGAGCATTCTCAAAATCTTCTTTCCGGTAACAGACTTTACTCTACCAATACCGTCGCTATCTCTCAAAATAGCACCAATTTGTGATGGAGTATAACCCTTTCTGGCGAGTTTAACAATCTTATCCTCGACTTCATCAGGGGTAACCTTCAACCAGGATGGTGGTGATCTTCTGTATGGAATAACAGATTGAGACTTGCCGTGACCGGCACCGTGCATTCTACCCATTTTGATGTATCAGAAAATGTGTGATGGAGTTGTGGCGTATTTTTTTTCAACGAATTTTTTAATAATTTTTTAGTCAACTCAAAACTATAGTTTACAATACCAACAAGGTTATTAACACATTTCGATATCAAGGAATTTGACAAATGTGTGATGATTATATTATTAACATTGTTCCCTTGTGATGTATGTGCCTTTGAACAACGAACAATGGTTTTGAATTCTGGTCTTCTGTAACCTGCTGGCAGATGACGAATGCACAATCCCTTTGATGGCACACCTTCAATCACAAACAAAAAATACACCAGAATTCCCAACCTGTTCTTGTTGCGATAAACAAAAACACGCTTGGGAGTTCTCAGAATCAATCTCGAAAAACAACAACACTCCTAACACCATATCATCATGGTGTTCTTATGTAAAAAATGTAACCAAACGTTTGCGGACATTTTTGAGTACAAGCAACACATAATCAGTCATTCCGAGCAAGCGAGTAATGTGTCGTCCTCATCATTGTCCAAAACAACAACAACAACATCACCTCCAAATGTTCCTACCAACAAGGTTTTGAATTCTTCTGCTCAAACGCAACAGTCCAAACAATATATTCCTCAACATGCTATGGCGATGCAAAATAGTTATCCACAGCGTGAGTATGTCCATGAACCACCATCTTCTTTGACATCTCCACCATATCATCAACACTCCAATTATTCAACGGGTGTTCGTGAGGCTGTTCATCAATCCTCTTCTTCAACGCCAAGCATAACAACAGTTAGAACTTCTCCGTCAGTTGTGTATTCTGAATCCAATTTGGGTTCACATCGTTCGGAAAGTACACAGAGCAATATAAGTGGCAGTTCTAAAAGTAGTAGCGAGTTGAGGTCACCATCTCCTCAACACTTACTTCCATCGTACGACAGTAGAATGTATTCAAATCATCAGCCATTCTATCCTCCTCATCATCATTATCAATATGCTCCACAACAACCTTATTATGGACATATTCCAAACTCTTTCAATCCTTCAGTTATACCAACAACTTACCATCCACAATATTCCCAAGATCAAGAAATAGATCATCTTTGTAAAAATTTTGATACTGGTGTGAATTTAGGTTCAAGACCTTATATGAACAACATGGAATCAATGAGAAGCAAGTGGTATTGTCCAATTTGTGACGTTGAATGTAACAGCCAACAAAAATTGAATGAACATTTGCAAGGAAAAACGCATTTGAAAAAGCTGAAAAATCAGCATTTGATTTCAGGACATATTTCACCACCAAATGTGAATGAAGAAAAGCCCTCCAGTTCAGCGTCAACACCAACAGCTTTTTCTTCTCTAAGCGATTTAAAAGATATTATAGAGTTTCACAAACGTCAAACCGGTGACTGGTTTAAATGTAAAATTTGTGATGTTGAATGTAATGGCCCGGATGTATTGATGAATCACTTGGGCGGAAAGCAGCACAAGAAAAACCAAGAGAGATACGATCTAAAATCTAAATTATTTCATACAGAAAGCGCTCAAAGTAACATGGATCCTCAGCAAAGAACTACTCGGGATCATGAGCATACTACAAGCAACGATACTGACTCAAGTTTAGAAACAATAACGGAAATGATAAACTCAGGAAAATTGATCAAAAAAGACGAAGGAAGCGAAGAAGGCTTTTTTTGCGCTGTATGTGAAACGTTTTGCAATAGTCTCGATGCCCTCAAAGACCATCTTTCTGGAAAAAAGCATTTAAAAAATATGAAAAACGCTGCCGCTTTGGAGCTAAGAGAAAAGAGTTTGAAATTACAAACTCCAGCTTCTCTTAATCAACAATTGCCCCAAATGGAGGTCTATCAAGTGAAGGGTATAACGAATGATCGATATGCAGATTTTGATATATCACGAGGAGTTCAAATTTTAGAATACTTTTTTACCAAAGTGTATTTCCAAAAGCCTTCTTACATCGAGATTTCTGAGGGCCCACCTCACGCAATGATATTTAAATGTATAATTAAGATGGAATCTCATAATTTTGTTGTAGAAGGAATAGCCTCTTCTAAAAAAGATGCAAAACGTTATGCAGCTATAGAAACATGTAGGGTACTGAATCAGAAAGGGTTGTTAAAAGAAGTGGTTCCGGATTATTTATATTACAACCCCCTTAGCTTCCCCTCAAACAAATAGATACAAAGCAACACTCTGCTGAGATTTTGATAAGAATTTACTGAGCGGCTTGGTAATTTCAACAAAAACGATGGGAGTGCAAGGTAATGAGTTATCTATTTACCTTGCACTCCTACCGTGGAAGCACTATTGCGATACTAGTGTTGTTTTGTTGAAATTAATTACCAAGCCACTCAGTAGAAAAATGGAATTTTTCAAGCTCGCATAACAGATTGGCCAAACGAGCAAAGGGTACTTACTTAAGCTAAAGGGTATCATGTTGATAAATATTTATCGAATAGCAAACTCTTTTTTCAACCATTCTCTGTCTTTTTCATGTTGAAGTTCCAGCATTTCGAGCTCTGAAAGTGGTTGAGGTTCGTCGTTCTCCTTGTCTGCTCGGTGAGATTGGCGCTTGGACTTTGGCTTTGGAATTTTTGCAGCAAACTCCTTTGCTTTTTCTCTTGCAGACGGCTCTTCAGGTGTTTTAGATTTGGATAAAGGTTTACTTTCGCCTTTCTGTTTTGAAATTTTGCTATTGTTGATTTGTGCAATTTCTTTAGCATACTCTCTGATCTTGTTGATTTTTTCTTTTTTTTCTATTAATTTTTCATTATGTAAATCTGCTCCTAGCCCACCGAGTTTGACATATCCTTGCTTGTTGATTTTGTTGTAGTCTTCGATGCTATAGGGTTTGTATGAAGGTTCTTTTTTTTGCTTAATTGAACAGTCTTCTGTTTGTTCGGACTCTTTAGACAAACCCCACTCAAATTCCTCCTCGTCTTTCTTCTTGGAAATACCATGTATTGCAGAATAGGAATTGTTTCTCAAAGAAGGATGTGAAGAAGCAGGGTTACTAATCTCTGAGACATCACATATGTTGTCTTCAATTGAGATTAATTTTAGAAGTGGCTGAGGTGGTTTACATTTTGCATTTGAGGACTCCTCACCGTTATTTGAAACAATATTTTGTTTCTTCATCTCTCCAATCATTGCTTGAAACTGTTTTGCTGTTATAATTGGTTTTTTCTTTCTTCTGCTGGATGAGGCTGTGCTCTCTCTTGAGGAGTAGTACGACGATGGTGTATCTGTTCTATTTTCTTGATCGAAACTGAAGTCAGAAATTTCTCCTGTGGATGGTGGTATTGAAACGTCATCGTGATGAGAGTGACTTAATACAAGAACGTGTGTCTCTTGCACTGATCCTTTTGCAATTTTTGGTGGTTGAAATGGAGGAGAGTTTGGAATTTTGTACAGTGGTTTAAAAGGAGATGAAATGTTCTCCAACTTTTCCGTGAAAGAAGTTTTTGAGCTTGACACTCTGGAAGAAGAATTTGAGGAGGTTGATGCTGTTGAAGTGGGTTGTTTTGACGAGTGACTCTTTTCAATTTCTCCTGTCGTAACCTTTGTTGTGGTACCGTCCTTATTTACAATGCTAATTTTTTCTTTGAACTATCGGAAAGACAATGATCAGAAAATTTGTTGATGATCATCACTCCACTCACCTTCTCTTGAAATAACGAGTTGTTTGATTTCTTTCTTCGATCTTCGTGCGAGAGGCGTGTTGCTTTCATTTTTTTTATATTTCAAAATCAGTAAATTTGGGCGGGTTTATTGGGCCATGCATGGTAGGTGAGATTGGTGTCAATACATTTTTCAATGGATGGTTTAATCAGATGACACGGGATGTACGTTTACCAGAAAGTATATTTATTCACATGTTTCTATAGATGGGCTAGTTTGAAGACCCTTCCTTAGAGGCTTCAACTGGGAAGGAAGATCCTCTCAAAATTGAAATCATCCTTGAGTTGATTGAGACCATCAATGTTATTGTACACGATTCAGTGAAAGCTGATCGAACTTGTTGTTTCTAACGACGCCTTTAAAAGTCTCCAGAGAAAATTTGGTTCAACCATTCCTTTTCCATGTTGGCTTGGAATGAAGAGTGGAAGTCGACCAAATCAATGTTATTCTCAAGCATTGTTCCCAAGTTTGAGCTGAGTGTCTTTTCATCCAAAGAGTCTCTTCTTATTGGTTCAGAAGGAGCAGGACGATGCTCAAACGTGAGCTCTTCATCACAAGTGAGGGCGTCAGCTGAGAGTACTGGAGTTGGCTTGTTAAGGACAGGTGGAACTACGGTTACAGGGTGAGCTTGATTGAAGTTGGTCGAGCTCATCAATTGATGAGTCTTGATAAATTGGAACACGTCCATATCGGCAGAGGTTCCATTCAAGAGAGCAGACATGGATTCATAGTTATTGCTCAATGAGGATGATTGATTTACAAGGTTTGTGTAGCTTGAAGAATTCATGGAGGATGAAGGAGACTTGCTCGACATGTTACTCTTGTGCTTGTTAGAGGGTGTTCCTACCTCTCCTTGGCCATTGGTAATTTTGAGCCAACGTTGTCTAACCATGGTATCGGTTCTTCTAGTTCCTAATAATGTCCTTAGCTTAGACCAAGAACAACCATGCTTCTTGACATATTCAATGATGGCTCGATCTTCTTCTTCAGTCCAAGGTTCTCGGTTGATATTATCATTGAGCACTCTCTTCCAACGTTGATGGAGTTGCTGAGGAGTAAATTTGTCATGAAGGAAGTTGGTTGCAATTTCCTATATAGATGTGTTTGTAAGAAACATACGATCCATCATACAAAAACGAATGATCGTTTCAGGTCATTGCAATGTATTTAGAGGACATTGTATAAAGAGTCTTGATTCTTACCTTCCATGAATATTCCTTTTCAGCATACATTCTAAGAATACGATCGTCCTCTTCGGACCATTTGACTTGTTGTTTTCTTTTGCATGGACCTGCTTTTCTTTGTGGAGTTGAATGATTACTACTACCCGTGCTATTGCCGCTGGGTGATGAGGTCATCTTGGTTTGAAAGGCTTGTTGATCAAAAAATTCAATAGGCAACGAACCACAATCAAATGAGACATCCTCACTGACGTATTTGACCTTAAGAACAATGGTTACTGTCATTTTGATTAGGAGTGTGATGAGCGTGTTGAGGTGAATGGTGAGCTGCCGTGCCTGTAGGTAGTTGAGCCTTTTAAAAGCGTTTGGATGTTGGGTATGTGGATAATGAAAGAGTCGTATGATGACAATGAAAATTGTTGTATCTCTCTCCTTTGCGCAAGTGGTGAGAATACAAACTGCAAACCACTGTGTCTATTTTGAGTTGTTTTTTCTGAATTGACTTGAACATTGTTGAACCGAGCGACGATTCTCCATTAAAAAGCGTTTTCAGAGAAGAGAGCTCAACTCGTCATGCGGAATGTGTTGAGAAAACGAGTCTGACAAAAATTGTCTCGTTAAGGAAAATCACAAAGCATCATCACAACGCTCATGCTCATACATCGCAAGGGTTTTTCTCTTGTTCTTGTTGTTTGATGAATAGTGATGCTCATGTTTAATGTGAAGTGATACTTCGACAGGGACAAGTTGTATTCCAACATGAAACACAAATTTAGAAGAACGTCACAACATTTTAACACTTGGTTGCCTTTGTTATGAGAATGTATTTATTGTGGTTTGACATTGTACTAAAAGGGTTCATGCGCAGAAAATTGCTGAGATTCCATTGCATCCAGGAATCTGAAAGAGGTATAAGTCGCCTTGTTTGATAGCATGATCATGAATGTGAAGAAATTCAGAAAATAATCGAATTACGGTAAAGTTATTTGACAGTAGAACATATCCAAATGTTGCAAGAAGTTAGAAATGTGAGAAAGAATCACAAATTTTGAAATACCCAATTAAATTTCTAATCTTGAAGAGAAGGGTTGACTTTCACTCTCAGCTCGTTGAAATTTTCTTTCAAAAAAAAATCTCAGTAGCTGCCAACTCTGTGGAACGAGAAACGAAAAAAAGGCTCTGCAAAGCCGCAAAGGAAGGAGACTTGGGTACGTTGTTGAAACAACTGATGGACTATTAAAACGTGTATGAATTTTAATTAGAGGTGATTCAACAAATTTTGAATGATCCGATTGGATGCAGTTTGGTGAATTCATTCGGGCCAGTAAGTAGATGACACGTATTATCGGAATTTCATTTAATTACTGATTTGGAAATTTTTGATATTACATCGGAATAGAATGGTGTAAGTACAAGATGATTCTTCGAATGATTGTGTTATTCATGTGTGATTTTAGTTTGTAAGTTTGAAAATATCTGAATACGGTTAATTATTGTGAACTAATGGAGTACAGACCCCACTTTACGAAGCTGCTTGTTGGAATCAAGTTGAAGCAGCCAGACTTCTTTTAAAACATGGAGCTAATGTGAATGTACAGGACCAAAATGTAAGTGATAGCTCTTTTAAGCGATAGAGCAATTTATTAAATTTACTAATAATAATTTCAGAACGGTTGGACGGCATTACATTTGGCATGCAAAAAAAACTCAGTGGAGATGGTGAAATTATTAGTTGAACATAAGGCAGAGTTAAACATTACGACAAGGGACGAATTGAAACAAACTCCACTACATTTGGTAGGTTAATGGTTGGAACTAGTTCAAAGTTACAAAATTCATTAGGCTGCCCATTTATCGTCTTTAGAAATTGTGAAATGTCTATTGGATAATGGAGCAAATAAGTCTCTGACAGATCGATTTGGTAGCACTCCAGAGAAATGGACAAAAAATCCAGAAATCAAATCGTTTATTGTCAACCACCACATTAACGATAAGTCTAATGACTCTCTATCGAGCGTGGATTCAAAAAAACAAATATTGAACAACAAGTACAGCATAGAGGAGAGAATTGGAAAAGGAGGATTTGGAGTAGGTGCGTAGAATTACACCTGTGATTTATATTCATTATTCATGAAACCTTTATTTTTTTGAATTTTATTGAACCACAGTTTACAAATGTAGTATGATTATACCAGGTTCAGAGCCAGCTCCTAGAGCTATTAAGGTGGTGACATTTGAAGATGAGCAAGAAATTGAAACTGCAAACAGAGAGGCTGCGGCCATGTTGCAACTGGAAAATCCAAATATTTTGAAAACTTATGAAATTTTTAAATATCAACACGATGACTCTAGTAAGGGACTATGTTTTTGCATGGAATATTATGCATATGGAGATTTGGACTCGTATATACGGTAGGTTTAACAAATGAGCTACGAGGTATAACAATGGCTGTAGAAAACAAAAGGATCCAATTCCATCAGAAATTGTTTTTTCTGTGTTCTATCAAATGGCTAAAGCCCTGGCATATTTGCATGAACGAAAATTAATTCACAGGTATGTTCATGTAGCAGCATTGTTACCCTCATTTCTGTATCAATCTTCAGAGATATGAAACCCCAAAATATTTTCATTAAGAATTTGGATGGTAAAGTGATCAACGTAGTTCTAGGGGACTTTGGTCTCAGTAAAACGATCGAAAATACCCAAAATCAAACGAAAGCAGGAACTTGGCTGTTTATGGTAAGTATCGTTTCAGAGATCTGGAGTACATTCTTACATTGAACAGAGTCCGTAAGTATTTGGAATGATAGAGAGCTCTAACTTTTTTAACACTGTAAAAGTGAAATTTTGTGTAATCAAGCATATGGTTTCAAGACAGATGTATGGAGTTTAGGGTAAGTGATTACAGATGAGTACATATATCATCATCATGTGTGCTAAATAATGTAAAGTGTTGTCATGTACCAGATAATGTCAAAAGACATGGTAAGTATCTTTGCAACATTTTGCATGACACTGACTTGGTTAAACCAGGAAACAAACGTGTGTGCCTTACTACTGACAAAAGGCGCCTCAGCGCTCGAAACGATAAAAAGCAACATTTCAAAAAATGGCTTGTATCCCAACGAAATCGTCGAGTTAGTCCTTAAAACACTGTCAGTCGACCATGAACAACGTCCATCAGCAGCTGAGCTCTGTACCACTCTTTCGAGCATCAAAGAATAAATCCTCGAGAAATTACCGTGCACTACGAGCCAACTTACTTCGTGATGATAGAAGGCGCTGGGGACGTCATGTGTCTATGTAGTGCATGGCTTCAAATGTCATTGAAAATAGAAATACACCAGTCAAACGTCCACTACATGCACTATGAGCCAGTGGGCAATGTACTATGAGCAGGCTTTGTCAAAAAAAATTTCTGAAAACAGTCAGGAACGATGTAACGATCATTCATCGGAACAAGTAAAATCAAATTCACAAATATTATTAGCTCTATTTGTACACAATTCGTGGCCAATACATGTTGGCGGATCATAAATAAACTAATTAAAAATTCGGCTCATTTTTACGCTCGTAGTGCAAGTGGAATTTCTAGAGGAAATTGTCTGATTGTTTGCCATCATTTTGATTGAGTCAAAAAAAATGGCCAAGAAAAAGACTTTTGGTGATTGTCTTCCTTCCGTCGGAATGGGTGCTCTTTCCGGTTTTTTAGTTGGAGGTGGTATGGCAGGAATTGTAAGTATACCATCAGGGAAGTGTATTGTGTGTTTATATATTCGCTTTCGTCAATAATTTTCCGCTAGACCATTCTCGGATATTCATTACTGCCATCAATGAGAGGCAATAGAGTAAATTTCTTAAAAACTGTTGGAGTGAGAACTGTATTACAAGGAGGAGGCGCTTTTGGAGCCATCTTAGGCTTTGGTGGATTATTAAGATGTATTTAATTTGAATATTGTGATGATCATCGCAATTTTAATTCCGAACAATACATGATCAAAATTGATTGAATAACATAGAAACAACTCTGCAAATTATATGCTTTCACACTAACTGTGTTAATAAATGATCGATGATTCATACTCGATAGCAATTTTGAATTCGCAATTTAATTCAAAAAAAATGTTTTTTTGTCCCTATTGCGGAAACACCTTGTTAATAGAGAAGGCAACGGGACGTTCAACAAGTACTGACTCCGTCTATCGTTGGGTGTGCAAGACTTGCCCCTATGTTTGCAATATTAAAAGTGAAATGCATTTCGACATGAAATTAGAAAAGAAGGAGGTGGACGACGTAATTGGTGATGATGCAAATTGGTCCGAGACTGTTGAAACAAAATGTGGCAAATGTGATCATAACAAGGCTTACTTTCAAATGTTCCAAACTAGGTCTGCTGATGAGCCTATGACTCAGTTCTTCAAATGCTGTAAATGTGGATATCAATGGAAAGAAGGATAATCTTGCTAATGATTATGATGATGAAGAACATGCTACTCTAGGAGCTCGGTAGGTACTCCAATATTTATAATTTAATTTATTTTCATATAAAACATAATTTTTATAATAAATATGAATAGAAATATTTGATTTTGTAATTGCCGCCAAAATGTTGTTACAACTATAAAAAAATGGATCTCAACCTACTCACAGAAAATGGTCTTGATCCGAACAGCGTAAGTATTCGTGTTGCATCATCTTTAGGAGATAACTCTCAATAATAACAGCCACTTTTAGCGCAAATCCAAGCTAGAATCACCGAGCAATACACGAAACAACTGAATGAATTGACCTTAGAACACAAGGAAATTGTAAGTATTGGCTATTCATGAAAGAAATACTTGATGACCTTGAGACCATAGGATGAACGGACAAAGAAAATTACTGAAGAAAGAGAAGTGTTGGGTGTCAATCTGTACAATACCCAGCAAAAATTAGTGAAATTACAAGAACAAGTGGACAAGGGACATGATACGCTGATCATGACTACTCAAATAAGAGAAGAAATGGAACGAAAGAGAACTGAGCAATTACAAATTGCGCTTTTGAGAAGGCAAGAAGTGGATGAAAAACGAAAAAAGCGTAAGTAGCTTTAGTTACAAAAATTTCCTTACCTGCCACAAGTGTACAAATTCCAAGAGGAGCTTGAAAAGTCGCAACAGACATTAAAAATGTTGCAAAACGCTCATGAGAAAACAAAGCGTGACATTGCTATTAAAAAAAGAAAGACTCATAAAATTGAAAAAGAAATGGAAGATGTAGAAAAACAAAAGAAACATCAAGACTTTAGAATCGATCAAATGATAGATAGAATTAGAAAGTTGAAAGATCAACATCAAGAGTATGAGGAACTTCACAAAGCTCAAAAAGAGGAATATAAAATTGCCAGTGAGACGCTTGCAGAAGCAACCGCTGAAATGGAAGCTCTTGAGTTTGAAAAGAAGAGGCTTGTTCAACAATGGAAGAGCAGTATTATTGGAATGCAACGACGAGATGAAGCTCTGAAAGCCACAGAAGAAGGTTTAAGAAAGCAGAAGGAGCAAGTAGTTGAAATTTTGAACGAAATCGAGGGCTACAAAAATTCTATCAACGAACAGAAGGAGAGACACGAACAACTTACATCAATTTTGATCAAACAAGAAAACGAACAAGTTTACCTCGAAAAACAAATTTTGGATAATAATTCAAGCTTGGAAAGCAAACAAACACAATATATGCAACTCAAAAACACACTCGACAAAACCGATCAAGAAATTGCTAAGGAAGAGTTGAGCATCCAAAAAATTAGGAAAGACATTGACGTTGTCGATAAAAAGATGGCTAACATGAGCAACGAAATTAGGGTTCTAGAAGAAAACCTTTTGAACCTGTTCAGCGAAAACACTACTATCAAGAAAGATTGTCAAAATACTCTCAAAGATATTGAAAAAAAGAAAAATGAGGTGCTAGAAAAAGAGGTAGAAATCTCGCAGATTGAGAATGAATTGGCAAGAATAACCATTGACAAGCTGCAAACTCAAGAGCAGAACAAGCAATTAGAGCAAGTCTTGAAAGAGCTAGAGTCAGAGCTGAAACAAAAAGATGGTCTTATTGAAAAGTATGAAATAGAGATTAGAAGAAAGAATGACGAAATTGAAAAGAAGCAAAACGACCTTGACAAGTTGAACAGACTTATGGAAAAAATTCTGTGCACTCAACAAGACGAGAATCAAGGCCCTCTTGAAGCAACCATCAAGAATATCACCAAAGCAATTGAGGCAAAAGAAAAAGAAAGCGAGCAGTTAAAGAAGGATTGGATACGATACCAAAGTGAACTTGTAAAACTAATGAACAGATCCGAGGAGTTGTCTGACGAGATTAAATCCATCAAGAGCAAACAAACAATTTTGTCGCAACGAAAGGGAAGAGTAGACGCTGGAGCCATTCGAGAAAGAAACCAAATTAAGGAATTAACTTCTGAGATGCAATCCATGCACAAATTACTTGAAAGGTTAAATAAGAAGATTTCGTCAAACTATCTTATTCAGAACTCTCTAGCTGATGTCAATTACGATCTTGAAAACAAAATTTTGGACAGGCTCAAGGCAAGTGAACGAGAAGCCTATTCTCTAGAGAGCAAGATTGAAGAAACTAAAAATCAAAAGCAAGCAATCTTGAATGAAATGGTAGATGTAGAGTAAGTATCATCATTATGGTTTAGAATGTGAGGTAACTTTGAACAAGACGACAAATATTGTTCTGGGAAAAGAAAATCGAAATTCAAAAAGAAATTCAAGAGGCTTTAGATCCAACCGTTGGTCAAGAAGAAATAACAAGAATGAAGAAAGAAATTCACCTAATGGAACAACGACTTGCAGATCTTAAACGAGAACAAAAGCGAAAAATTATGGAAATGGAGAAAGCCATTGAGAAGCGCGATTTGATTTTAACAAAAGGAAGAGTAATTCAATCCAAAAACACAACAAATACCAAAGCAAACATTCAGAGAGAAATTTCGTTCCAACAATCAGAGCTTGCCAAAAAAAAGAAGAAAGCTGCTGAGGCCTTCCAAGCGATCAAACATCATCAGAACGCTGCTGAGCAATGTGGTCGTGCAATAGAAGAGGCCAAAGACAGAATTAACGCTATAAAGGATGAGATGACACTTCTCCAAGAAGAAATACAGACACTGTCAACACAAAAGACAAAGATTGGATATGATAGAGAACGTCTGAAAAAGCTTGTAGAAAAGTGTCAAGCCATTCTGAAAGGGTCCTTTAAGAAGACGCCAGAACTGAATCAAGAATTGGAAGGTCAAAAGGAAACAACTTCCAAGATTGTGAATATTGTAACGAAACTTATTTCAGAATATCCTGAATACACCCAGAGTTTCCAGGTAGTTCTACAAGAATAAACAGTGTTTATTATCAAATTCCTATCGGATTTCTAGGGATATCATGTCACTAGACGATCGTTCAGGTTCTGTAAATAATGACCAAAATCGCAAAGTTTCATCTCCAGAGCCAGTGACAATTTGAGATCCATCAGGTGATGCTGTGAGAAATAAAACTCTTTCTGTATGACCATACAAATGTGTGATTGGCTCTACATAGGGAAAACAGCTCCACACGGTAATGTTGTTTTGGCTGAAACCATGTGTTGTGACCAGTTCGTTTGTTTGCTTGCTCCAATAGACGTTACAAATTTGACTACTCGTTTTTCTTGAGGACAACATCTCTCCCGTGGATGTATTCCAAAATCGAAGGCATCTATCCTTAACACCACCTCCAGACACGAGAAGATTGCTATGATTTGGGGACCAGGCTAAAGCTTTCACTGCTGCGTTATGGTCATTAAATTTCCATAATGGATGTCTGAAATTAAAACCTGGTTCCCATACAAACAAATTGTTATCATTTCCTCCACTGGCAATTTGATTACCTTTAAGATTCCATTGCAAACCACAAATTTCTTGAGAATGTCCACTGAGTTTGATCAATGAATTCTTGGCTCGGATGTCGCTTATGAAAATATGATTGTCTCTTGATCCAGTAGCAATTTGATATTCATTCCATGAAATACTTCCCACTCGTTCTGCATGTCTGTGCACATCTCTAATCTTGGTTTGTTTTTGTACATCATAAATAGACACAAATCCATCCTCAGTTCCAATCGATAACACATTAGGATCAGTTTTCATCCATGAAACAGAGCAAACCAAATTGTCCTCGTCATTCATAGAAACTAAATTCGAAACAGCATAATTGTTTGCATTCCATAAAAACACACTAGTATTTAAGGCAACAGCAATTTGATTGCATTCTCCCCAATCAATTAAATTCAAATAAAAATCATCTCGAATTCCTGGAGCGTCTAATACTCGCAAAGGTATGTCAGGAATGGTTCTGTTTCCTTTCGATATTACAATTTGTTGATTTGTTTTTAAATTTATACCATTTCTAGCCAATATTGTGTTATTAGGATGAATGAGCATACTCAGAGTTGGTTCAGGAATTCCCTTGTTGCTATGATAGGCTTGTCTTCTACTGATATCAATACCATTTGAAGAGTTTGGTCTGAACTTTAAAATGTTAGAATTTGTCGAAGTAGGAGATGATTTTGGTCTCTGAGGAGAGGATGTCACACTTCGAGATTGTAGTAAGGAGCGTTGTTTGGGCTGTGGATGAGTCATGTTATGAATAGAACTACTACTTTTTGGATGGTTTTGAGTAAAAGATGGAAATAGAGAATCATAATTGGTAGTAGATGAAGAAGGAGGAAAATAAGGAGTATTCACTATGGATTGGCTATTGGGTAAGAGTTCTGAAATTAAAAGATTATTAAAAACATGTCCTTTACCACCAACACTCACTCCATCCATATTAAAGCCATTAGGTGCACCGGTACTGGGCGTTGACAAGGTTGTGGACTCATCATCGGCAATATCTTCTTGATAGGTTGAAAACAAATTCGTTTGAGGAAAGGGCATTTGTAAAAAGTAATCGACAGATTCGGGATCATTAAGGGAAAAGCTTTGATTTAAAGGATTCACACCTTGTAAAGAATTGTTCAAGGATGATACATCCGAGTGATCTGTCGTGTTATGAAGTGTTGACAACCCTCCTCCTGAATTCACAACTCCATCTTCAAGTGCCATACTCGACAAATCTAAATGTCCATAACTGGTGCTACTGTTGGTTGATGAACCCAAACTATTATTGAGAGAGTTGTTGCTTCTTCCTGAAGAATCAGAAAGTATCGAAGGAGGAGTTGTGCTGAGTTGAGAGTTGTTGTTGTTATGGCCTGTTGTGGAACGTGGTGATGAGTAACCAGATCCTGCTCTACTGAGTGGCCTGCTGGGTGAAGTGATGCGGTGATTGTTGTTGTTGTTGTTATATTGGTAGTACTGGTACAATGAAAGTGAGGAGTTAGGAGAGGAGGAGGTGGTGGTTGTCGAGTTGTGTGGTGGAGTGAAGCTACTACTGTCTTCTCTTGGTCCATAACTGAAACTGTTGCGTCGAAGGAAGGGTGTGGCTACGGATCGACTGCTGCTACTGTTCGAAGAGGTATTGGAGAGGGCATCGAAAATTGACGGAGATGAGAGACCATACCTCAAGTTCGACGAGCTTCGATTCGAAATGAATCTGCTATGCGTGCACACAAATTCAAGAACGAATTGTTGTTGTTCATCACGAATTTAAATATTTAAAATATTTCGTGATGAGCGCCAATACGACCGCCAATTATTAACAGTAGCGACAAATGAAAAAAAAGTTAATTTCGTAGACCATTCGATCTCGATACATACCTATCGCAAAGAGGAGTGTTGTTAGACCGTGATGGAGAGCATGCTTTGTTTTGCTTTTTCGAGCTTTCTGGAGTTCTATACGAAAGAAATGAAGGATTGGAAGAATTAGTGGAATGTTGTTTGTTGTGGAGGGAATTGGATGATAACGGAGCTGTACTCGTTGTGGAGAACGAAAACCGTTTACGCGGAGGAGGTGGTCCAGAGCTATTAGACATGATGATCAGTTAGGAAAGTTAAGGTGTTGAGGAAGTTGTGCACAATGATGAGGCTTGCAAAAAGCCTTGAAGCGAAAAAAATGAAAAAATTCAGTGTCCGTTAATGATGATATTTTTTTTTAAAAAAGGCTTTATTATTAACAACCTCGGGTTTTGAGATGTACTGGTGAAGGCTAGAAGACTCGTCGAGCTACCAAATATTCTGGAATGGATCTTTCTTTCGAGTTTTATCAAATTGGGTCCTTTGGGAAGATGATTTTTTCGCTGGCAGTTTTTGGAACCTCAGTATACAATCGACATTAATTGATTTAAATTTGCCTTCTCGTTTTTGAATACCTTTTTCTGGATGTCTAATGTTGAAGAAATACGGAGCTTCGCAATTAAGATCTTTTTCGACATCTGAAAATTTTGCGCACTCCACAGGCTCTGAATAATATAACATCGACTCTTTCAAAAGTATGTGATCATGATGAACCTACCTTGTAGTTTTGAATTGTCTCCAAAGAGTAACCATGCATTGCTTACTTGCTCAGAATTTGTAATGGACTGATAAATATGTTGTGGGTGAGTTGGACTTTCATCAAAGCCCATAATAACCATATAATGATTGTAGCAATGATAAATAAATGCTGTTTGGTTCGATCTCAATCCTTTTTTCAACTCGTCCAAAACATTCCCAGAAGGTTTTGTAGTGTGAAGACCTTTACATTTCCAGAATATACAAGCTTCTCCTTCCATGCCGAACAATGAAAGCAGTTCCTTAAACCATTGCATAATTGTTTCATTTCCACAAAATGGTCCAAATCGAATCTCATGAAATGGTTCTGAAAAACCTAACAATGTCAATACTTCCTCTTGCGTTAAGATAGGAAGATCACCATGACCAAGAGTACTAAATAAATAATTCCAAATCGATGTCAAAGAAGAAATGCCACAAGAATACTTGTATTGTGGTCTAGACATGCAGTACCATTGTTTCAAATTCAAATATTTTCTCTCACCGATAGCCAGTGACAATTCATCTCCATGTTTCCTAGCAATTTCTGTATCATTGATCATTTCAATTTTCTCTGTAGGAAGAACTTGTTGAATTGTCTTGGGTTTTCGGTTTTTGTATAATTCCTTCGCTTCTTTCTTTTCCTGTTTGGTTGGTTTCCGACTGATTTTGAATCTGGGATCAATGGTTTCATGATCGCATTCATTGTCGACAATATCTTTCGGATCTTGTTTTTCTTCTTCTACACTCTTGAAAGATCCATTTTGTGCTTTCCCAATGGCAACATAACAAACAATAATTCCCAGTATGAAAGCAGAAAACACCCACACAAGGCCTTCATTCATGATCATGACCAATGATGAGCGTTTCGGTGGTTTTTGTTTGGCGGTTTTTGAACGTTAATGGTTCCCACCAAAAAAAATGGAAAACTACGACAATCTTGGTGTTTTGGGAGAAGGGTAAGTGGATCGAATGATCAGGATGAAAGGTTGTCATCAAATAATGATCTGGATACGGAATGTGTTTAATTAAAGAGCGTATGGAGTTGTAAATAAGTGTAGACATAAGGAAACGGGACAGATTGTTGCCATTAAAAAGTTTAAGGAATCGGACGAAGATGAACAAGTAAAAAAGACTGCGCTACGAGAAATAAGAATATTGAAGGTAGGTGATGATACTGTTGGAATGTGTCCATATTTAATTGAATGCAGCAATTGAGACATGAAAATATTGTAAACTTACTCGACGTGTTCCGTAGGAAAGGCAAATTGTATCTTGTATTTGAATATATTGAATCAACAATACTAGGAAAACTGGAAGAAAAATACCCTTACGGACTTGATGAGGATATGACCAAAAAGTATTTATATCAAATATTGAAAGGAGTTGAATATTGTCACTCTCAAAATGTAGGTCAACTCATTTCATTATATAATTAATATTATTTGACATTTCATCATTAGATAATTCATCGAGACCTAAAACCAGAAAATTTACTTGTCTCCAAAAGTGGAGTTTTAAAAATTGCTGATTTTGGGTTTGCAAGAACATTAGAAGGAACAGGAGCCAAATACACAGACTATGTTTCCACGCGGTGGTACCGAGCGCCAGAGTTGGTGGTAGGTGACAGAGAATATGGAAAAGCAGTGGATATTTGGGCCATAGGTTGCATGCTTTGGGAGCTTCTTGAAGGTCAACCTTTGTTTCCTGGAGATTCTGACATTGACCAACTATCTAGGATAATTAATTGTTTTGGAAAACTGTCTGAACATCAGATTGAAGTGTACAACAACAACCCATTGTACAGAGACGTGGAATTACCCAAACCATCTTCTGAAGGCATTGTCTCTTTGGACAGTAGATACAAAACAAATATTTCAAAAGAAGCTCTATCTTTTATCAAAGCATGTCTCAACGTAGACCCCAGCAAAAGAGGTACCTACGAGGATTTACTGAACCATGCTTATTTAAAGGGGTATCAGGAATGGTATGAAAATGATTTTCCAATGTTATTGGACCATGACAATATTTCATTGAACTCTTGGAAGAAATCAAAGAAGGAAAGGCTGGAAAGAAAGACATCTGTGTGTGCGGTGGATGATGAAAAGTAAGTGTACAGAACAGGACATGTCATAACATTTTACAATCGCTTCAAAGAATACTCAAAACAAAAAAATTAGCGAAAAAAGAGGACACTAATGAACTTCAAGATCATCATGAGATGCTACCAGATATATCTGGCCTAAAAGCGAGAGGCCTTGTTGGTCTCCCTTATTTGTCAGACTGTAAAAAAGATGTTTCGAACCCAGAAGAAGGAACGCCACCAAGGGTAAGTTATTCACCACAAGTCATTATTAATGTTTCAAAAATCATTGGAATTAAATAGTCACAATCGCCCACACAGTTTCTTCCGGAACTACACGAACCAAAGAGCACTTCCAAACCTAAAAAGAAGAACAGAAAAAAGAAGCAACCTAAACCCTTACATGTACAAACACCCATTACTCCAAAAAGACCGCCAACAAATCAATCGAGTATTTATGATGATTTAATTTTCAACGGAACAACAAGAGAAAAGAATGACCTGCTTGGATCCTATTCTAAATACAGCTCAACGACCAAGAAATTTCACAAATAGAATCGACCTCGGGTTGCATTAGTGATTACAACAACCAAACATTTGGCGGGATCGGAAGACTTTGTAACATAGAACTAGTGTCCTTAATACGAAAAAATGCTGCAAGTGGACCGCGTGTTTTTTGATGTTTACGTGAAAGATAAACCTCTAGGGAGGTTGGTGGTCAAACTTTTCTCAGACAAATGCCCAAACATTTGTAAGAATCTGATCACTCTCTGCGCTAATTCTGGTATGTATTGATGAGAGAGAAATAAACATTGATGACAGTATCAAATTAGCACCTCAACCAACATACAAAAACACTAAAGTTTTCCGAATAATTAAAAAGATGATGATACAAGCTGGTGACTATGAACAAAACACTGGCGAGGGAGGTCAACAATTGTTTGACTATGACATTTCATCGGAATACTACAACCATCCTTGTGACACCTCTTACTTGATGTGTGTTGAACGAGAGTCTTCTCGCAAAAACGCATCTCAGTTCCTTTTTACAACCACAAACTTATCCTACATGAAAGATAAATTCATTGTCATTGGACAAGTCACTAAAGGAAAATCCATCCTTAATAGAATTGAGAGAGGTGTACCGACTGTTGAAACCACAGGACAACCCACCTTGGATGTTGTGTTCACTGATTGCGGGGTTTTGGAGGAAGGATGTGATGATGGAGTTCTCGATAAGACATGCGTGGAAGAAGGAGATGTTTACCCTCAATATCCTGCAGATGAAGAAGAAAGCGATTCTCTCTATAAAAAGCTGGAGATTGCTGAAAAATTGAAAGAATTGGGAAATCACTTTTTCAAACAAAACGATCTTCAAAAAGCAGTAGAAAAGTATGAAAAAGCGTTCAGATATCTGGCACCTGGCCTCAGGGATGACAGTGAGCGTAAACTTTTAGAGGAAAAGGAATTAATCTTATTAGGCAACATTGCAGCAGTCAAGATCAAGCAAGCAGAGCATGCTGCGGTTATTGAACTATGTTGCAAAATTCTTCAGCTTGTAGAATATCATAAGGACATGGAAGGCATTCAAGGTATTGAGACTAAGGCCAAGTTCAGACGAGGTGTTTCATATTTCAACAGAGGTGACTGGCTTAATAGTTATGTGGACTTGTCAGATTTGAAAGAAAAAAATCCAAATAACAAGGAAATTGAATCATGGCTTTACAAAGCAAAAGTTGAGCTTGAAAGGTACGAGAAAAAAGAAAAACATACCTATTCCAAGCTATTCCAAGATGATTAGTCATTGGCGCTATATGAACTATCAGTCTCAATATCATCATAAAGAGATGACTCTGTCGTTTCACCATCCTGCCCAGTGTTGTATCCAGTGTTTTGTAATTGTCCTGTGCTGTGTGTTCTTCGTCCAATGACTCTACTACTTGTCTGAGCTCCAATGATCAGTGGAGCATTTGTATCAAATCCGTGATCACTGGCATTGAAATTGGTATTTGTGGCTTCAGATTCTTGACTCTCTTCATGTTGATGTCGCCTCAAATTAATATTCACAGCATTTCTACTAAATGTCCATTTGCTGAAAAAAATTAAAATACTTAGAATTGGCATAACCTCCCAAAAGAAATTGGTAACAATAATGAAAATTCGACCATAATCAGTTGACCTCAAAAATTGAATTTTCAAATAGTCCTTTGGAAAATTTGGGATTAAAATTAAGCAATCAAAAATTGCTCTACTTGTGAAAACAAAACAGTTCACAATAATGACTACTATCATTCCAGGCCCTGTGATTCGACTAACCTTCAAGCTTACAGGTATGTCATTTCGTCTTCTAAAAATATATACCATTCGGAGTCCAATTGCCAACAGCATTACCATTAATACAGTAAACGAACATGCGCTTGCCAATCCAATCACTGAATTTGTTTGTTCACTATCAAATGCAGTGGTGCATGAGGCTATGGAAAAAGAAAAGATAATAGAAAAAAATCCCAAGTTTGTCAAAACCCACAAGATCATGTACAAAACCTTTCTAGTGCATAAAAATTTGATGAATCTGTTATAAAAATTATTGGTTTGGGCATGGTAATATGAAATTTTCGATTGTTCTTCATAAGCATCTTCAATATTTTGGCTTACAAACGAAGTATCTGTTTTCGTATCGTCGTCTTGATCGTCATTGTTGAGAGATCCAATTGCTCCATTGGAAACAGCTCCATAGTTATCACTAAAAGTAGAAGAGGGTGGTCGGTAAGATCGTCGTCGATTGGAAGGAGCATAGTTTTGCACGCCAGAGCCTGATAAAATTCCTGTAGCTGGAGAAGGAGATGATGGAGTTGGAGTGTGGGCCTGTAACGGTTCATCTACTGTCTGCAATAAGGATTTTTCCCATTTTCCTCCGTAATTCAGTAGTTTGAAGAAAAATACTCCCAGCAATGTGAACACTGCAAATTCCACACAAATTGGTAAATAGTACAAAAAGAACACGCCACAATTATCAATGACAGAAAAGTAATAAACGGTCCTCAAAATCATCCATATACAACATAGCACTAGAAAGCCAAAATGGAATGAAGGAACTCGATGTTTGTGGTAAAATGTTAGTCCTATTTGAAGTAAAATATAAAGGCAAACTAGCGAAGTCATAATTCCTAGAACTATACGATCATAGGTATAGCCCAAATCCTCTTGCGGCTCTTCTTTAATTGCGGAATGGCTAAACGGAGAACCATGGCAAGTGTTTTGAAAAAGGAATAATTGCAGCAAACCGAGTGTTATGCTGATGATAGAACGGTGATTCCGAAATGTATTAATTATTTTCATAGATGAAATGATTGAATTTTGAAGTTAATAATATATAAGCGGAGGATAATACTCCTAACCGATGAAGAAGGAGGGTCGATTGGATGAAGGGCAGATTAAAGAGCCACCAAAGGCAAATATTTTTTAAATTCAAAATTCAAGATTTTTTTAAAATACATCGTCAGCTCAACTATTGTCACAATCGAATAAATTAAATTTAATAAATAATAACAATAATCGAAATAGAAAAGTTCTACCAATCGGCTGGGTTTGTTTCTTGCTTTCCGATTTGATACACATCAAATCCAATACTTTCTAATTGTTTACCATTCAAAATATTTCTTCCATCAAAAATATAAGCTGGCTTTTTCATCATTTCAAAGATTCTCTTGTAGTCATACGTCTTAAATTCATCCCATTCAGTCATGACAAGGATGGCATGAGAGTCCTTAACAGCTTCATATGGATCTGTGGCACAATGAATGTTAGATTTGACAAGTTCGCTCTCTGGTGATTCTTCAAATCTGGCACTAAAGTCACCCTCGTAACATCCGTTCATAATACTCTTCATGTCATAACGAACTTGCTCTTCCGGAACTTTAGGATCATAAATGTGAATATTGGCATGTTCTTCTAATAATGCCTTACAAATATAAATACTACTTGATTCACGAGTATCTGCAGTGTCTTTTTTGAATGCAAAACCTAGAACGGTGATTTTCTTATTCGATACAGTGTTGAATAACTTGTGAATGACCTTCTTGGCAAATCGTTCTCTTTGATAATCATTAATTCTAACAATTCCATAGAAATAGTCTGCTACTTCTGGAAGATTGTAGTGTTCAGCAAGATATACCAAATTCAAAATATCTTTCTGGAAGCAACTACCACCAAATCCAACGCTTGCTTGCAAAAACTTTGAACCAATTCTAGTATCCTTGCCTACCGCATGAGCTACCTGAGAAACATCAGCTCCTGTTTTTTCGCAGAGAGCAGAGATGGCATTAATAGATGAAATACGTTGTGCCAACATGCAGTTAGCCACTAATTTGCTCAACTCGCTGGACCACAAGTTCGTAGTAATAATTCTTTCCTTTGGAACCCAGTGCTCATAGACCGATGACAATGTAGCAATAGCTTCCTCACTTTCACCTCCAATGAGTACTCGATCAGGATTATTCAAATCACTGATGGCTGTTCCTTCTGCTAAAAACTCTGGATTAGACAAGATATCAAAGTGAGCCTTACTCTCTCCAGAGGTGAGAATTTTCTTCAATGCCATTGAAGTTCTGATCGGGACTGTACTCTTCTCGACAATGATTTTTCGTCCGTGTTGAATGGCGTTTCTCAATTGTCGTGCGCATAATTCAATATATTTCAAATCTGCTGCTCGACCCTTTCCGATACCGTAATGTTTGGTTGGAGTGTTAACGGAGAAGAAGATAATATCGGCATCAAGAACAGATTCGTAATCAGTCGTGAAATGTAAGTTCTTTCCTCTTCTTTCAAAAACAAGCTCATCCAAGCCAGGTTCATAGATTGGTAATTTATCACTGTTCCATTGGTCAATTCTCTTCTTGTTCACGTCAAAGATAACTACTTGAATGTGATGGCATTTGTTGGCAATGACGGCCATTGTAGGACCACCCACATAACCGGCACCTACACAAGCAATCTTTCTAACAACAACCGAGGATGATGAATGAGTGGAATTATTGTGATTCATGGATGATGTGATGGCTTCTGTAGAGGGAGCTGACATTTTTTTCGTTACGTTACCTTTTCTCAACGCACACTCTCAGTTTTCGTTGGAGTTGTCTAATTCGAGAAAAGGAAACAAGCTGTTGCTGGGGTAGTTGGGGAGTTCTGACAAGAACATCAAGAAAAGGTTAATGAGCAGGACACTTCTTCAAACACTTTCAGCACTCATGAACGCTTACATGTGAATTCCAACCCAGCTGAAGCCATACAATTCGTTCCCAATAAAAAGTGAACTTTCGTTTAAGGTCACATGAGGAATAACGTTAAATGAAATTGTTGTTGGAAAAGAACGGATTTAAATATTAATAGTAAGTTTCGTTTGGAGACCAGCCGATTCATGACGCACTTGTTCCCTTAGCTCTGATATCCATAGCAACATCGGACCCGACTGTTGTAGCCCGCTGACTGCGATTCCACCAGCAAGTAATCAAGAGCGCACGCCCAACCTCTGGCTTCAAACAACACCATCAAACAAAATGCTTCCACAAGATCAAACCGACAATATCATCACTCACAAGAAGCTAGAAGGACGAGTCAGCATCGTTACAGGTTCTGGCAGTGGAATGGGAAAAGCTATCGCTCTCCTTTTTGCACAACATGGATCTAAAGTGGTAGTCACAGATGTGAGTGAGCAACGAATTAAGGAAACGCTTGATGAGATTCAACAATTGGGAGGTGTTGCCATTGGAGTGTGTGGAGATGTTTCCAAACAAGAAGATGTCGATCGTCTGTTCCAAGAAACTCTCTCACAATTTGGAACGTTAGATATTCTCGTAAACAATGCAGGAATCATGGATAACTTCATTCCATGTGGAGATATCACTGATGAAGTCTGGGAAAAGGTAATGGCAGTCAATACTACCGGTCCCATGAGAACAATGAGGAAAGCCATTCCCATCATGTCCCAAAAGAAGAATGGAGCGATCATCAACATTGCATCGTTGGGAGGCCTTCATGGTGGCCGAGCAGGTATTGGTTATACCGCAAGCAAGCACGCACTGATAGGAATGACCAAGAATGTTGGTTTTCATTATGGTGATCAAGGTATTCGTTGCAACGCCATTGCTCCTGGAAGTGTTCAGACCAATATTGAAGTTAAAAATCCTCACCATTGGGTGCAGGAAAGATGTTTTTGGGATCTCAATTAATGCCCCGTCTTGGACAACCATCTGAGCTTGCTAAGGCCGCTTTGTTTTTGGCTTCCGATGATGCCAGCTACGTGAACGGATCTGTGCTAACAGTAGACGGAGGATGGTCTTCTTTTTAAGATAGGATCCATTGTATAGTAAATGCACACAATTACGTCAAACAGCATATTCGCGCCTTTCGTATACAACACTCACCCTTTAAAAAAAATTGTCTTTGACATACAACCAGCCCTCAATATTATTGTACAGACATGGTTGCTTCCGCGATTGTACCTGGGCTCGGGATTGGATATGGAGTTGTTGTATTTATTATTTCGTTGATTTGTGGTTTTTCTTTGTGTTGTTGCTGTTGTGTGGTTAAGAAAAAGAAGTCAAAAACGTAGGTTCCAAATGCTGCAATTTTCAATTTACGTGGAGCTAAAACTTCAAAGTGCTGTCATTTTTCTTGCCTTGTTCATTCCGATATTTATTTTCCTCTTCTTTTTGCTGTCTCCGAAGATTCCATTAGACAATTCCACCGCAACCAACGTTTTGCTCGCTTCAGCTCAGCAAAAAGTGGATAGCTATTATTTTGCCAGATATGCTTTCGTTACAATTGCCATTATTGGAGTCGTTTGTTTTATTCCAATCTATATCAAGATGTTTGTGTTCATGCCCAAATATGCAAAGCCGCTAAACCCATACAAATTGAAGGAAGATTAATCTTCTTTGCTGTGTTGAGGTTTTTCCGAATTCTTAGACTCCTTAAGAGACTGATCCTCAAGCAATTGAATGATTTCTCGATCAAACGCAAATAACACTTCTGGCAACACG